TAAGTGAGGCCAAAGCACGGGAAAAAGTCAGGTGGTGATTGCAGGGTCAGTAAACATGACTCTAGAGCCTTGGAAAATTAACGGACCGGCCGTCGGGATGGGGCCCATGGACCGAGAGAGCGGGCGTGGGTGGCCCATTAGCCGTGGGTGGTCGGGGCGTTACAAGTTGTATCAGAGCTGGTTAGCCATCTCAGTTTTGACCTGAGAGGCGTCTTGAGACCTGTCTTGGGGTGCAACGAGGACGTTGCGTTCTTTGAGAGGGGATGAATTGTAACATCCCGAGTTGTGATATGTAAAAAGGCTTAAGAGAATTGATTTGGCTACCTATGTCACCAAAGTGCGCTTACCTTTTCGGGAGCACATCCAGAGAGAACTCCAGAGTTAAGCGTGCTTGAGCTGAAATAGTCAAAGGAAGGGTGACCTATCGTAAAGTGATTTGCGATACCGTGTAAGTGAGGCCAAAGTACGGGGAAAAGTCATGTGGTGATTGCAGGGTCAGTAAAAATGACTCTAGAGCCTTGAAAAATTAACGGACCGGCCGTTGGAACGGGATGGGGCCCACGAACCGAGAGAGCGGACGTGGGTGGCCCATTAGCCGTGGGTAGTCGGGGCGTTACAATAGTATTGACTTCATTCTATGCATGGATGGAGGTATACAATGTATAGCGCAAATTAGCAAGCCTAATTATTTTGGATTTACACAATTGTAGCTCACTGTTTATGATTTTTAAAAACTCATACATGAAGGTTTAAAAACCAATTATCTTTCTATTTATGATTTCTCCCTAATGTTTGTGTTGCACAACTTTAACCCACAAGTAGAGCAAAAATCTCAAAGGCTTTATTAACCATTGGACCGTTAGCCTATTAGCCTTTTAGAGCAAAAACTCAGAGGCTTTATATCTTCACAGTACACAACAATTACTTCTTTTGTCTTGGATCACAATAGTTTGTAGAAACAATTATAGTTTGTATTTCTGTCATTTTTGTAACACAAAATACCATTTCACCTCAGTTATTTTAGTTGTGCAGTTCCTAATAGTTGCTTAAAATTATTACTGAATACAAAACTAAAATAATGCAAAGTATTTTAAAAACAATTATATATGACTATAGTATTGACTTCATTCTATGCATGGATATGATTTTGATTACAAAGTACCAAATTTCAGTTATATATAACTAATATTATATATACAACATAACTTTTACTTTTTAGAAAGAGATAAATATATCTCCTATATATCAAAAGAGAAGTATTATCATTTAATGTTTTCACACTATATTAGACACATGACAACCTCACATGGATTTCAGTTTGAATATGATGACGTGTTGCTTCACAATCATTTAACAATAAATGCGTTCAGATTCTAATTTTTTTAACTCTTCTGCATACAATTTAATATGTTCACACTATTTTTAAAAAAAAAATCATGTCATTTTTAATTCTTACATTTTTAACCTTTGTATTAGTGAACTAAAGTTCTCTCCATACAACTACTGAGTAATATCATTTTAAAAGAACGAAACTAAAAAAAATTTAGATTCAGATCAACTAAAATGCTGGAATGAGAATGTTTTCAAAATTTCAAAATTTCGTATCTTGCCGAACTTAGTCATGTTTAAGGTTTTTTTGTACACGAAGACAATAAATAATTGTGACTGGTTATTAATCAAGGAAACCGAAGTAAAAACCGCACACAAATTTGGATCCTTAGTTAAGCCAACTTTTGTTTTTTATGGAGTTTTCACACCATACCAACAATTATAAACATAATTAGATTATAAGAAATAAGAAATCATAAAAGTTTTAAAACAAAATAAAATTCTTGAAATCGATTGAAAAGCAGAATTCAGGTGCTGAGCAAAGAGATCACATAATTTTCCATGCAACTCTTTAACACTTTTTACGCAATTCAGGTGCTGAGTAAACATAAACGTTTTTATTATATCAGCCAAGAAGGTTTATAAGAAAATACAACTCCAACACATTTTACTCAATTCGGGTGCTGACTAAACATAAAAGTTTTTATTATATCAACCAAGAAGGTTTATAAGAAAATACAAGTTATCAGTGTTAGACTACGTCAATTTTGCAACATTTCCAAAAATATTGAAATGAGATCTCAACTATTTTTACTGGTATTTTAAAAGTATAGTCCAATAATTATGTATGTTAAATAAATCGAGAATATTTTTTATATTTATTTTATTTTGCTTTATATTAGTAGAAGTGAGTAAGTTTGGATAAAACATTTGGATCCAAAGGAACCGACATGAACTAGATTTGAAAGCAATACTAAACACAAACTAAAATTGATTAAGTACTCAGATGGATCTAAAAGCTTAATATCCATATAACCAAAATTAAAATCTGATCCGAACTAACCTATTTTGGATACCAAAAATATTTAAATCATAATAATATATTTAAATATGTTAATTATTCTAAATTTTATATCTATTAGATGTTAAAAATATGAAAAATATCTAAAAGAAATTCAAAATAGCCACAAGTAAATATCTAAAATAACATAAAATGTTAAAAATACTGAGAATATTTATTTATTTTCTATCCAAATATTTAAATTGAGCTAATTTTTATTTAAATTTAAATATTTAGTTTTATATTATTCAAATTTTTATGTTTTATATTATATTATTTTAATATTAAGCATATTTCATTTTTGTTTTAAAATACGTAATTAAAATGGATATACGAACTCAAATCCAAATCGAACCCGTAATGATTTAAACCAAATCCAATTTTTTTTTTTGTAAATCTAACCCTCAAAATTTAAAATCTGAATAGATATACTGAATCCAGAATAGATATATGAATGCTCATTATCAGAAAAACTATACAACAAATCCCTTAGTACAACATAAAATAAATATTCTAATAAACTATTTCACTTTGCACATAGTGCGAGTTACTACCTAGTATAGTAGTATCTTACTAAAGTTAAAATATCTTAATATAACGTTTTAGTTACACCTAATGCCACTAGAAAACTAATTATTTCTAATTTTTAGCATTAATTAGTCTTACCAAAATCTTCATAGATACAATCAATTAATTTTATTTATGGTTAACATGACTGATTGTTTCAAATGATAATATTTCTTTACATATTCTTCCATAAAATATTCAATTAATTAATTTTCTCTCTAATTGATTATATATATATATCAATTAATATAAAATAAATATAAAGTAAATATTAAAATATATCTTTTTTTATCCCAAGTAAGTACTCCGTTTATATTTTATATAAAATATTTAAAATAAATAAATACTAATATACATGAACAATATAAAATTAGGATAAAATGAATAACCATTCAAATAATTATTTACATGTTGTAATACTAATAATTTTATATCTGCTAAAAATCCGAAAATACAAAACAACATTCAATAATAAGATAATTCATATGTATTATATTGTTGTCTTTAAAATATATTTTTTTATCATAGAAATTAAAAATCAAGTTAAAATATTAATAGTTAAATATAAAGAAAGCAATGCTGATTTATCAACTTCTCCATGGTGTTATATTTGCTTTTTTTATCATATTTTAATAATTTCATATATAATTTATTAAAATGAAAAAGGAAAATACAAGAAGAACTTCTCCACTCGTGAAACTTAGCTCAGCATAAGGAAAAAGCATCAACCTTGTTCTTGGTATTCTGTCGTCTGGTTTGATCATGCGATTCCTAAACACTCTTTTGTTGTTTGGATGATGATAGGGAGATTATCTACGGGAGATCGCATGAGAAATTGGAACATAAATACTGATACCTCTTGTGTTTTATGTGATGAACCTATGGAAACTGCGAAGCACCTGTTTTTAAAATGTCCTTATTCTGCGCAAATTTGGGAAGCAGTGATGAAAAGTATACTGAAAGATCAGTTTACAGTTGTTTGGGGGTGACTTGTAAGCTTGGTTACGCAACGTTCTGGCTGGAGCAGAGTTAAAATGTTTGTGGTTAGGTATATGATTCAATCTTCCCTCTATGTGATTTGGACTGAAAGAAATAGGAGAAGACATAAGGAAACCCCGTTACCTACCGAAGTCCTGATCCGAAGGCTGGACAAAAATATGAGAAACAAATTTACCATTTTGTAGAGAGAGGGGAATATCGAGTTGGCAGGGGGAATGAGTTTCTGGTTTGGTTCTCGATAGGTTTCTCAGTGTGCCAATGATAAGGAGGTGAGAAGTCTGTTTCATGTTTGGCTGCTGTGTTTTGCTTTGAGTTTCGAAGAGGCTTGGTTAAGTTCTGCTGCTGTGTTTGTTTGTCTTCCATACACCCTCCTCATTAGATTTTGTCCCATTTGGGTTTTCCTAATGGAATTTTAATGAGGAGAATTTCATGATCCCTCCAAACTTAACTTGTTCCACATGGTTGAGCTTGAGGGGATGTTAGTGAAGACTTTGAAGGTGCTTTGAATTTTCTTTTGGGTTTTCTATTTGTAATTTCAGTGTAGTTTGAGTTTTGGCAATGTTTTAGAAAACTTCTTAGCCATAGGATATACTTGTTGTAAAGAGGTCTTTTTCTTTTGAATTCAATTTAACATTCAATTCAAAAAAAAAAAAAATTCAATACAAATAATAATCTAATGCTATATCACAAATTATATGACTACAGTATTGACTTCATTCTATGCATAGGTATGATTTTGATTACAAAGTACCATAATTCAGTTATATATAACTACTATTTTATATGTACAACGTAACTTTTACTTTTTAGAAAGAGATGAATATATATCTTACTACGTCCTGGTTAAGTATCTAGTTAGTAACTTGTTATGAAGTCAGAAGAATTGGCTTGCAAATTCATAGAGTAGAAATGTCAGGCACTAAAGAAGAAAACAAGAGTCACTGGAATAAATAAAAACAAGTGCGGCGGAGAAATACAAAGGACAAAGAGAGTTGCCAAGTCTGGGACTTGTAAAGAAACTGAAACAACCTGCATGTCTTTCTCACTAGTTGTAGACCATATACTTGGGGGTTGCGCTGAACTTCTGATAACCTTTGATGACTTTGTTCACTGCATCCAAAAAGTCTTTCTCAGTCACAGTCTTTCTCCTAGCTCTGATTGCATACATTCCAGCTTCAGTGCACACACTCCTGATATCAGCTCCTGCAAGAAGAAGATTCGAAAAACCATAAGTCAGAACCAAAAGAGAAGATAGCATAGGAGAGATGTTTAGTGGTTGGGACCGTTACCAGTTGAGTTTGGGCAGAGGCGAGCAAGGAGCTCAAAACGGATGTCTCTCTCGCAATTCATGGTTCTTGTGTGAATCTTGAAGATCTGTGTTCTGCTCTCCAGATCAGGTAAACCAAACTCAACCTTACGGTCAAGACGTCCAGGACGTAGAAGAGCAGGGTCCAGCGTGTCAGGCCTGGAATAGTAAAGTACATACGGAAATAACCAATGAATCAAATGGTATGAACGTTGTTGTGTTGTGTAGTTTACTTAAGGCTGGTAATGAGATTGTGGACTGACCTGTTTGTTGCCATAAGAACCTTGATGTTACCACGTGCGTCAAACCCATCAAGCTGATTCACAATCTCAAGCATAGTACGCTGGACTTCGTTGTCACCTCCTACACCGTCATCAAATCTAGCACCACCAATGGCGTCAACTTCGTCAAAGAACACAATGCATGCTTTTTTGGACCGTGCCATCTGCAGAGCGAGTATTGTAAATGACATTTCAGAATATAGCAGCGTCGTCTATACAAAATATAGATAGTAAGAAGGAAGTTTGACAATTGATTACCTGAAACAGTTCACGAACCATCCTAGCTCCTTCACCGACATACTTCTGAACAAGCTCACTGCCAATAACTCTGATAAAGCAAGCATCAGTCCTATTGGCAACAGCTCTAGCCAACAGGGTTTTACCGGTACCAGGAGGACCATAGCAGAGAACGCCCTTGGGAGGATCTATTCCAAGCTTCACAAACTTCTCTGGGTGAAGCATTGGCAGTTCAACGACCTACAACCAACAAGGACAACAAAACTATTAACAATTCGCTTCCTTAAAAAGCTATAGCACACCAATAAGCTTATAGCTATAGGTGCGGGAGATAAGATAATGACAGAGGATGATAACAAAGTTCAGTAACATACCTCTCGCATCTTCTCAATTTGCTCCTTGCAGCCACCAACATCATTGTAAGTAACATCAGGTTTCTCTTCAACAGTCATCATGGTGACACTAGGATCTATTTTGGGAGGTAGAGGAATCTGTATCTGGTACTTATTCCTATCAACTCTGCAAAATACA